AATGATATCATTATAATGATATTACTATTCAGTATTAAATCAATTTTATTATGTAAGATTATATGACCATTTTTAATAAATTATAAAGTAAATATATGGAAATCTTGATGTTTATAGTCAGTAGTTGGGCTCCATAAGATAGGTTAACTTTATATTGTAGTTTGCTATTGGTAGTACTGTTAGTAATGCAGTTATCTTTCCTCTTTATCTTATTATTCACGCTTTTCTAATGTAAGTTCTCTTTTTCTAACCACTCAATTAACTATATTTAGTTTTTATAATATCAGAGGTTAGAATATTCTCTTCTATTTACTTTAATTTAACTCAAACATTGGCTTGAAGCCATTTAGAGTGAGATCATTTCTACGCTAGAATAGTGATATAATGATTACATAATTCAAAAGTCAAATAAGAAATTTTTACAGAGAAAAAATAATTTAATACGTTAAATTAACAACTAATTTATAAAATATACATGAGTAATACAAATGTTATAGAAAGTAATGTACATATCTTCATGAAATTTTTATAGTGAGTGACCAACTACAATCATCCTAATTTAAGCATAAATATTTATTATTTTAGTTACTAATTTGATACGTGTAACTATGAAATAAATCTCAAACGAAAAATAGGAATTGAAATCAATGAATCACAAAAAATCATTAAAAATTTTCAAACTTTGGAGGGGTAATTTATAATATACTAAACTTTAAGGGTATTTTTTTATAAATTTCAAATTTAATACATTTTTAATTAGTTATGTTCTTTTCAAAAGAGTTATGGGTAATATTGATCATGAAAAGTTTTTTTTAAACCTATACTTTTAAAGAGAGTATGATATTTTTTACAAATTTTAAAATTTTCAGGGGTTATTAGTAATTTTGTATATTCATTTTAGTGTCTATAGGTTAGAAATTCTCATGATATTTTTTTTTAAAAATTATGAATTTTAGGGGATTTTTGTAATTTTTTTAAACTTATAGGCCTTTTCTACAGATTGTAAATTATTTATAGACTATTTATAATTCCTATGTTTTTAATTTACTAATTAGTTTAAAATTCTCAGGATGTTTTTTGTAAAATTTAAACTTTGAGCTTTTGTTTGTAATTTTTGAGACTTTAAAGGTGTTTTTTATAAATTATAAAATATGTTGAGAATATTTTCAATTCATATATTTTCAATGTACTGTTAGTTTTGAAATTATCAGGATTTTTTATAAATTTTATAATTTTTGGGATTTTATTTTACAATTTGTAAAAAGCCCAGAGTATTTATTGTAAATTCCATAAATATTTGGAGGTTGTTTGTAGGTTTTTAGTGTGCTTATAAATTTGAAATTTTCAAGGTATCTCTTTACAAAATTTGAATTTTAAGGGGTGTTTTTACAATTTTTAAAACTTACAAGATATTTTCTCCACAGCCAAAAAACTTTCAGTTTCTAGCTAGTATATGTTTTTCAGATTTATCACTAAATTAAAATAAGTAAAATTTATAATTTTCAATATGTTTTAATAAAATTTTAAATTTGTAGGGGTGTTTTTGCAATTTAAAAAGCTTGGACGATATTTTTTACAAGGTCCAAAATTTTTAGGTGTTGGCTAGCATATATTTTTTAGATTTATCTGCAAACTAAAATAAGTAAAGAATTTAAATTATATTAAACGTATCTTCTTTATCCAATAACATGGTAAGTCTAATTATGAATAGGATAAATTATTTAATTACCCATTCAAAGAAAATAGAATAATTAGAATAGATTAGGATAACATGTTAGATCTTATAAAAAACTTGAGTCTAAACCATAAAGTCATGATTAATTCAAAGAGATTTACAAGAATCAAAAGAAAAGAGCGGAATCTTATACCTGAATCCATAGATTAAACTTGAGATGAGTTTTGGATCTTCTAACCTTAGGGTTTCTCTAGCCAAATTTCTCTCTAGATGGGGGAGAAGAGAATTAGAGAATGTAACCCTAGGTTAGGGACCATAACCCCTTATTTATAGATGTTGTACATTTGCAATTTGGCCCCTCATCAAATCACAATTACAACCTGGTATCTGCACATATAACCCCATGATTATATTTAAATACCCATTAACCCAAATTGATTGATCACTTTAGTGGGTTATCCTGAAGGATAGCAATACACACAGATTAATCATATGTGCCCACAAATAGATTTAATTAGATTTAAATCCAACATAACAATGTAATATTAAAAAAAACTAAGGGTGATATTGATCATGAAAAGATTTTTCCGAACTCGTACTTTTAAAGGGAGTATGATTACAACAATAATCATCATTTCATTTCATTTCTTCTTTCCCTCAAGCTAATCAAACTCCCATGAAGAAAGAAACTCCTAAAGAGGAAAACGCTTTCTTAATTGGACAATTTTTTTTTTTAATATCTTTTCAGTATTGATTGGCTTCTTGTTTTGAAATGCATCGGAACAACATTTTATGCCCTCGAAGTCTCGAATTGTGGCTTGCCGAGAACAGTACCCTACATCATATTAGTTTAAAATATCCTCAGCCTTCTAGAATCATTTTGAATATAAACATATACGCACATATTCACTAGTCTTCTTACTCATTATTCATTGACAATTTAGTTGGATAAAGAACTCGCAGAAATAAAAATAAACTAACAAGGTAGCAACCGCATGCTTTCTTAGCCCAAATTAATACACTCGTATCTACAAAAAAGTGTAGTGGCTACCAACTATTCTAATGTGTATCAAGAACGTATTTCTAGAGATTATCAACGAAGACCTTAGGGAGGGGCGGGGATTAAAGAAATTTTATCTAGACAATCATTAGAAGGGTGAATACAAGAGAAATGCTCCTATACCAGGAAACAAACTTTTGCTTTAGTGCATTATTTTCTAAGAGCATCTCCAACAGCTTCCCCATCTTCTTGAAATACTCAATTTTGGGGAATATAGAGGTTTTTTTTGGTCCAACAGATTCCCTATCCCATTCCCCAAAATAGGGAAGGAGGAGAAAAAATAGGGAGCCTTCCCCAAATCTGCAGCATTCTCCAAATTTTTGGAGAGAGCTTTATTATTGTAATAAATGCGATTTTTTAAAATAGGGAAGCTGTTGGAGTTAGAGCAAAAATAATTTGGAGAATATGACTTTTGTTTCTCCATTTTGGAGAAAATTTTGGGGAAGCTGTTGGAGATGCTCTAAGAATGCTTAGTCATTGACTTTCCCAAGGAGGTGCCTTATCTCGAGTTCTCATTTTATCAGATCATCCGGTAGAAAAGAGGTCAAATAATTAGATGGCTAGTTTAAAAAGTACAACTTATTTATCTACAATACATTCACCTCATTCCTAAGAAAATGATTCTGATAAGATCTGTACTCATTTTTCTTCTCCGAGTGGCCATATATCTTAGAGAATATTCCTTAGTGTCCCCGCTTTACAATACCTGTGGCACGAATATCCATTTAAGAGAGAATCTATTGAAAATGAACACATAAAAATATTGTTTTTTGAAATTCTAAAAAATACATAAACAAATAGCTATTTGCAAAATAAACCATAACAAATAACAAATAAGCTGGTAATGAATAATCTACTCCTCTATACGTAAAGGAGAATATAAAGAATTATTGTTTATGCTACAGTAAAATACTATAGTAAACACGGTAGCATGAACAATAAATCAAGCCCAAGTCCTCTACACTTGAAGTTACTGTTTAGCATAAACAATGAATTAAATATGCTCTTCCATACTTGAGGTTACTATTCATACTAGTACTGTATCACAAACAATAAAGCAAATCAATATATTAAAACTTGAATCTTGGACTTTCTTTAAGTAAATAGGAGTATATATGATTTCTAAATCAAATGTATTAAAACTTAGATCTTTTTTAAGTATAGAGGAGTATATATGATTTTTAATTTTAAACATACTATAATTAAGTCCAATGTATTAAAACTTAAAAGGAAAATAAGTTTAAAATGTAACGATGGAAAAAAATAGGGGCTATGCTTTGTAGTTGCGCGGGGTGCACAGTAGTCACACGGAAGCTAGAAACTCATGGATGATAACAAATGTATCCTTACCTACCAGTGCGTAGCACTGAGATTTGCCCCCCTGGCCACTGCCCAGTGCAAGATATTATATATATATTATATATATATATATATATATTATATATATATATATATTATATATATATATATATATAGAGAGAGAGAGAGAGAGAGAGAGAGAGAGAGAAGAAGATGAAAATACAATGGGATGTTGAGCCTGACGTATTCACTTACAACATGGCGCTCTATGCAAACAAGGGCCGATGTATAATGCTATCTAAGATTTACTTTTTGCAATACCTATACTTGTATTATCTTTGGTCATTCTTCTCGAGGACAATGGAAAGAAGCTATGAGCACTACAACAAAAGCTGTATGTGTCCACATTTAATTTATGACACATATAAAAGTGTCGTTTTATTTGTAATAGTAACACAAATAAAAAGTATAGCCTGACGGTGCTCGACACAACTGTCAACATCGGCCTCCTCTACTTCCTCTTACTCGACACAATCCCTTTGAGTTCCTACAACAGTCTTTTACCGCACTCCGCTTAAAGCTAGGTTTTATGCCGACTCCGACGACGGAGGAGCAGGAGGACGAGTCATCTCCTTCGCCGATGTTTGCGCCTTGGGATTTATCGCCAGCCAGGATTATTTTTTCGCCCAGGGCAAAAAAAATTCCTGGCTACGCCACTGCTTACCACAAGTGACCTCTGTCATCTGCCCGGTGTACAGATTACAACCCAACTTGTCAAACCAGTGCGCCAAACGGGTCTAAATAATACAGGTCGACCCGTACCTGTAACCGTACTCGAGGGGCAATTATGTCATTGGATTAGCACCTGTGGACATCGCTGTACAATAAAGAATCTTGCGTCGGTGACACGCGTGAGTCGTCAGCAAAGTTCCGGTAAGAGACAGATCCCCTTCAGTCTCCCATTGGTCCAAACCCCCGATGCCCAGTTGCCCTGGCCCCCATCCCCTTTAAATTCCCACTCTCCTCACGCTCACTTCTCTCTCTCTACCACGAATCTCGCAAATCTAGGGTTTCGCACTCTCTTCTCTCAGAGCTCTCTAGATCGACTCCAGGCTGCTTAATGCTGAACGTTTTTGGCTTCTTTAGATTCGAATTCAGTTGATTCTGCGGATTTTTGGACTCGCGTTGGTCCAAGGTTTGCTTCGACCTCGATCATCAGCGACTTTTACTTTTAGCTTTAGAATTTGTTCTGAATCTTGAAATTCGCTGAAGCTTTGAGCATTTTGGTTCTGTTTCGGGTTTAGTTGAGTTGATCGCGTGGATTTTGGCCTCGTATCTTGGCGATTTAGGGAGGGATTTACTAAATTAGGGGTTTTGGCTTTCTGCTGGCAGTTTTACTGGAAAATTTTGGGTGATTGTTAGAGAAGAATGCTTGCTGGACCGGTTGCAGGTTTGCCTCTACCCTGTTTGGTTAGTGGTTTCTCAACTTTTTGAGTGATTGTTGCTTTGATTTCTGTTAATTGGAGTTTGCTTAAATTTTAACGCTTTTTTAATTTCTTCGGATTCAGTTGGGTTGATTTTGTGGATTTGATCGTCACATCTTGGCAACCTGTGGGGATTTTGCTGAATTAGGTACCTTTATTATTTGCTTATATTTGGTGAAATTTACTGGTAATTTCATGATGAGCAAATTTTTAGGTTTGATTTTTCTGGTGCGTTGAGTTGAATTTTCATGAGAACTCTGAAATCGGTGAGAGACGTGAAATGGAAGGCAACTATGCCTCAATTCAAAATTCTGCACTTACTCATCGAGTCTTATTTGCTATACAAGGAACTCTCTTAAAGAACATGTGAACCCAATACTTGCTGTTATTATTATTATTTTTTTCTTTTTTGGGGTAATTGCTATTGTTGTTGTTAAGCAACATATACACATTGCTAAAAGTGCAGCTCTCTGCTGATAACATATAATTCTCTTATAATATGGTTGTTACTTTAAATGCTTGATTATTAGCCCAAAATATACCTCAAAAAGCGATCTGCTTCAGTTAGTCCATGCTTAGCACTAGTTAAGCACCCGTGTAGATGGCTCTAGGTATTTTGGTACCAGATGAGGCAACTCAAGATGTTAGGTGTCCGTTAGGCACCTGGACTGACCTAACATTTCTAAATTGTCACATTAGGCATTATTCTCTAATATGTGACAATGATGAATCTAAAGATTCTTTACTTCCGAAATTCTAATTTTCATCTGAACTGCACTGGATCAGTGTCACTTTTCTGAGCACATCAAAGTCAATGCTAGTCTCAGTAGTGAGTTTAAAAATCACGGCATTCGCCTGCTCAGTAAGTATAACTATCTTTAAGCATAATTTTTTAGCAGTACATAGTCCTCTTGGAGTGCAACCAGCATTTGAAATTCTTGGTTATAGCCAAATATGCCTGCGAAGAAGCCACTAATAAGTAATTATATTCCGAAAGGAGTGGCTAGATTTCTCAAGCATATGAACCATGGGGTGTTTCTGTGCTTTTTCGTATACATGGTGCTATTCATTCTGCCTTACTCGTCGTAAAATTTTCCTTTGGTTTCTCATGAGGTATTTTGTGGCACTTGTTACTTATGAGCTACTCATTCCCTTTAAGCCTGTATGCTCTCACTATTCTCTTTAAGCTTGTACGCTCTCTCACTATTCCTTTTAAGCTCATATGCTCTCAAATTCATTCCTTTTGGGTAGATTATAACTCTGCCAGATATGGAAAAAGTATGGAATAAGCCAGTTCTTGAAGTGTTATGTTGGAACAGAGGAGGGAGTTAATCTGAATACATTTATGTAATGTACAACCTGGATGTCCACTGATTAAAATATGCATGAAATCCTGTTGGTAGTCACACTCCGTCCTATTCATCGCCATTTAGTAACTATGATGCCCATTATCTTAGGCCTAGGTAGGGTGCGCAAGTTTTTTGGAATATTATCAAGCATTGACAATGCTCTAGACAGTTACATCCATTATGTTCTATTTTTTGCCCATTTAATATTGTGACAAATGAAAACAAAGTATTTTTTGGCAAGGTCATCATCTATAATTTCATTCAGAACATACCATGTGAAGTTTTCTCTTGGATCAAGTTTTTTTCCCTTGAAAAACCCTATGGTGATTCTTCCGTCCAAGATTTATAGCTATGTTTTCTAAAAGACGCTATCTTTGCTAGTCCCTTCAGTCTTTAAGATTCTTGGTTACAAGCATAGTGATTGTGGATGTCAGCGTGTAAATGTTAAATGAATTAATATTTATTTGCTTTTTGTCAAGGTTATCGATAGTGGATAACGTAGCGTAGCTGTGAGGCATCGCTAAGGCTATTTGGGACTATTGCGGCAAATAGTGATAAAAAAGGCAAAGTCAAATAGCAGTCTGATTTAGATATGTATAAATATTCAAAAAAATAAGGAAAATTAAAGAAAAATGTAGAATATCTAAAAATGTATATTTGATGATTTAAAGAGATTTTAAATATGAAATAGACATGTGATCGTCACATAATACCGAACACTACTGGAGGAGAAGTCAAAGAGTCGCCTTTGAGAAGATGAGCCGAACGGTGAGAAAATTGCAGTAGGAGGAGCTCACGGCGAGAGGAGGTGAGAGGAAGTGCTGAGGGAGATGCCGGAGGCTATGGGAGGAGGTGGAAATATGTTGGAAATCGCGGGAGGCGTTGAGATGCAGTGGTTGCGGGTCGGGTTTAATTTTAAAAACATAAACCTTAAACCACTTTTAAATAGCAGTAAAAAAGCGGACTTTTCTCGCAATCGCCCGCTATTCACTGCTGTGGCGCTCTATAGGCCGTTTTTGCGAGCGAAAAGCGTATATTCTACAATATGTCATTGCTATTGGGCGATAGCGTGGCGGAAAGGCACCGCTAATGCTATTAGGGGCTGTTTGGTTCGGTTTTTTTGAAGGGGAAAGGGTGTGTGTGTGTGTGGAAGAGGCGATTTTGGGAGAAAGCTGCCAAAGTTCTGACACTTTGGTAGCTTTCCCCCCACCCCCCTTCCGCTTCAAAAAAACAGAACCAAACACGCCCTTAGCGCTGCAATTGCAGTGCTATGTACCACTATTTATAACAATGATTTTGGTATTGCTTGTTCTTGTCTGTAAAATCCTTCAGATCATATATTGCGAACTAGCTTGTTAGTTAAGTTGATCTTTCTCTACAGTTGAATCCCATGAATGACAAGTTTGTCGACAGTATGGATGCCCTTTTATCCTCTTACCTAATTGAGAGAGATGCTATTCCCTTGATCAGTTTGTTAAGACATTCATTTTTTACCTTTTGATGCCCACTGAAAGGTATTACTGTCTTCTGTAGATAATAGCCAGCCTGATGCACCACCTGAAGAGCCAAGCTGATGGTTGATCACATGTTTATTATGTTTGACAAGCATCCCAATGGGATCATTTCTGATGAAATGTCGAAGGGCACTGCTTTGCTTGATAATGTTGCTATATTTTTCTATGGAGATAAGCTGTGCTATCAGTGCAGATGGTAAAATGCAAAACTGTGCTCTTTATAGTGATAGTATCATTATAGGTTTTTTAATTGTTATTTTGATATAATGTTATTTTAACATCTGAAGTTTGTTTCGTAGGTGAGGCACTCCTTAGCTTTAAGACATCAATTGTTGGTTCCGATGGCATACTTCTTCACTGGAGACAAGAAGATCCTGACCCCTGTAACTGGAAAGGAGTGACATGCGACACTCATACGAAAAGAGTAATTTATTTGTAAGGATTTAGAGAGCTTGAGGCCATATAGTACTTCTGGTGCATAGAAATTGTCGTATGTTTAAGCTTTTCTTCACAATGTTGGGATTTTTCTATGCATATTTGTTGGTGTCATCAACTTTTTACCCCTGGCTAACCACATACTGAAGATGCTACTTTATTTGCCATTTATTCATTGAGAAACTGGAATCAGGAGCAATTGCTGGCCTGAGGAAGTATTGCAAATAGAAACTATAAAGAAACAGGACCACTTGACCACTTGAGAAGTATTTGCTAAATTATAATAAATGTGGTTGTATTATGAAACAATCTCTTTGTGGTGATATTTTTTTCCTATACATTTATTGGGGTTTTGATTATTATGATAAATGAGGTCAGAGTTTGTCAGAGCGACATGTTAGCTTGAGCATCATATGATGTGAAGCAAGATAAGGTCCATTGTTTGAGATACAGTCACATTAATTTTGATTTTATACTTGTTGATCAATCATCAACCCTGAACTGATGAACAAAATCCAGATTTGATCTGCAATATAGATTCTGAGGTCACACAATGGAGTTTATTGCTTTTGACAGTCTAGCTTGAATCCAAATGTTTTGGCGAAGGTAAGGTGGTTGAGATTCATATAAAACAGTCAGAGACCCAATCCACAGCAGCATCTTATATGATATACTGAAAGTTCTGGTGGTACACTAGTATTGAGGTCTTAAAATCTGAAATCTTTACGGTTTGAACTTTCACTTTAGTGGAGCCTGTGACGTGGGCTTCAGAGAGTTGGCCTCGACAATGATGAGCCTAACAGGCTAATCTACTTGGACTAAGAGAACAGTTACTAGAGCAGAGCTGGTTCACTTGGGAAAGCCTGAAACTTATAAGTTCTCAAAAGAACAGGTTGAGAGGCCTGGTGAAGTGGGTATGAAACTTAGGAAGAAACTTTGATACAGTAAAATATCAGAATTTTAAGGGAGATCTTAGATGAGTGAAAGACTAAAGGATTTCAGAATGTTTTTTTGCTGCTGTATATTTTTCTATTTTCTTCTCTCTCTGATTGTTATTTTTGGGTGCTCTTTTTGGTGGTTTGTACTTGGGGTTAGGGGATGTTATTTAAGAAAGGTCCTAAACCTTTGGAGAACATAATTCTAAAGTTGTATAATTCCAAAGTTGTATGTTCTATGTTGTGAGTATTTTTCTTTCTCGCTTTTACGAGACTAATGTCTGGAGAGTCCATGAGTCAATAAGGGCAGTCTAAAACCTCTGAATGGGTTAGCCTTCAACCACGAGGAGCCTACTTGACCTTCGAAAAAAGAGATTTGAGACTAATATGTTAAAAGTGTTCATAGCTGATAGCCCATAACAATAGTGCCTGGATGGGGGTGAGGATTAGGGCTCTTAGATGTGCTAACTGTGGATGGACATAGCCCTTTCACATAAATGATCCTCAGCAGAATATACGCTTTTAGCTATTTTTCCAAATATATGTTGCAGTGTTTGCTTGTTTATTACAAGTATAGTTCTGAGTCAAAAATACTTTCTGAGGCCAGAGTTTTTCATTGTTCACCCATATCAAAAATCTCTTGAATTCAAGTTCTGAATTATGTTGTTAGTAGCTGAAAATCGGATACGTGTGAAGATCGTTAATATGGCTGCAAAATTTTAACAGATATTGCTTTTTTAGTAAATATTCACTTTGAAGGTAATTGCTAGATTCAGAAATGTTGATTGTTTGTCAACTTTCATTCATGATAACTGTAATATTTAAGTGCCTAAGTGGTTTAAAGGATTCTTGTTCAAGATTTCTGTTGTGAACCTTTCCGAAAATTGAAATATAGATGCCATATTTGATTATGAAATCGTGTAGTTCAGCCAGTTGCTTCAGAACTTGAGCAGTATATTTTCTGCATGTAGTTGACATGGTGGTTGTGTCAATATCAGATGACTTACGCTAATAGTACTAAAGTTTTTTTTTTGTATAAACTAAGATAAAGCAGCTGTTTACATACAAATTTATGAGTCTGACATCCCACCACTAAAAATCTAAGTAATGCTATATTTTTTTTCAGGGCTCTTGGGAATCATAAATTAATTGGGTCTATAGCACCAGAAATTGGAAAGCTAAATCAGTTAAAGCTATTGTGAGTAGGCTCGAAGCAAATTTCTTAAATCTCTCGCCATTCTACCATTCTCTGTTCGGGAATGGCTTGTTAAAGCATTCTTCTTGTTAAAGCATTCTTCTTCTGATGAACATGTATGATCTTTGGCGCTTTAGAGCTCTACATGGCAACAGCTTATATGGAACCATTCCCCCTGAGCTGGGAAATTGTACAGAGTTACAACATTTGTAAGTTCTCGACTTCTGTAAGAGTACATTGTTTACAAATTTCTTCAACTTGTGATTTTGCTTATTCTTGGCATCTTTAGAATATTCTCTGTAGCTCTTTAAGAGCAAATAACATTATAAAAAAGTTGAGTTTATTGCCATTTTAGACATTTGATGTTCCTTAAGTATAATCCTGTAAATTTGCAGCAGTAGCTTCGTCTCCATATGTTGAGAACTAAAACGTATAACTCTTGGAGGATTTCTAGGTAGTAATTATCACGATAGTCTAGTGCTACACTTATCTTTTATAAGGAAATGTTCCATGGGTACATGCTAATCCTATAGCATGTTATAAAATTTATATCGCATTCCACATGTAGAATAAAATACGTGTTTAAAATGTATCAAAAACCTAATTAGTGATGTATTTGAGACTTGGAGTTTGCAATCTAATGCATGAATTCTAGGTTTACTATTTCCTTTTATTTGGAGATGTATTTATATAATTTCTCCAATTGATTGTTAATAATGTAATTGTTGTGGTAACGATTAATTTATTTAATTTATATAATATGTTCAATTGATTGTGAAGAATTGTTGTGGTAACGAGTACTTTATTTAACTTGAAAAGATTTAACCTCTTTATCTTCTTCGTAACCATTCTTCACTTACAAATCCATGCTATAAGATAGATAACATTATATTACACTCAACATGCGATTTCATATTTTGATAAAATCCTATAACTATAACTTGGTGCAACTTTTGTCAATTTTTTTTTATTGCACTTCTTTAGAAGGGAGTGGCAGGTTACTATGTGTTGTTGCTATAATAGCAACAATAAGCGAGGAATTATTTTCAGGCATGATATATAGAAGCTCAAGAAGCTTCAAGCCGTTAAAAGATGTAGCTTATGCTTGACTTTTCCACAGCTAGCAATATTAAAAGGCCTTCACTTGGAATAAGCTTCAATACATTTTTCCTATTGCTAACACCTCAAAATATTGCTGGAGTCTGACCATCAATGATGCTGCATGTGTGATTCGTCCAGGTCAAAGTTACAGGATATACGTTTCTGTCTTCAAACCATCACGGATGTCTGTACTCGTCCAGCTGCTTTTTAGATGTGCTATTTATGTAATAAGATATTTTATCGAGAGCACTCATAGAACTAAAAACTTTTGATTTATCGTCATTGCAACTTTGCCTTGTCATGCTTTTAATAAATGACTGGATGTCAGCCCAGCTGAAACACCAATTTGAATGTCATATATTGTGTGCTTATTTCATCCATGAGCTAGCATAGTGTCCATATTCTAAGAAATCTCACACTTATATGCAAGTATGTACACCGTTATTATGCACGCATAAACACACTTCATCTCAGACATATATCCTATTTATAGGCATGGGATTTTTACTAATTTACCGATGCTTAGTTGAATGCAATTTTCTATTGCTATACATATGAGTATTTCTTTGCCTTTTTGCAGATATTTGCAGGGAAACTACTTGAGTGGGACTATCCCCTCAGAGTTTGGTAGCCTATTGGAACTTGAGACTCTGTGAGTTCTATTTTCTTGACATTGTTTGTTTTCTAGTTATCTTCTTGTAAGCTATTGCAAGGTAAATTCTGGCATAGGTTCTCTTTCAGTTTTCATCGTAAGAATATGAAGTTATTTTTAGCTAACTATGTCACATTTAAGGGATTGCTAGGATACATTTTTCTTAAGTTCGTAAACTACCTAATAATTTGTGCTGCATTAGGCAACTGTAACTTCAAAGTTTTTTGTTAATCAATTTCATTTGGATGAATTTGAGTCAGGTTTAGTCTTTACCATCTCCTTTGCAAATAAGATAGTCTGTCAGGATGACTTGTGCACTTACATTATGATGTGCATAGCATAAATCTTTTCTTATGCACATACCTCTCTTTACAGGGATCTCTCCAGCAACACTTTGAGCGGATCTGTTCCTTCATCCCTTGCTAAATTGACGAAACTTAAACTATTGTAAGTGTAGTCTTGCTCAAACATATGGTACAGAAAAAGAACAAACTGATTTCATGTATATCTAAACATATATTCAAAAAATAAATAAACTATTTTCACTTATATCTAAACATATCTTGTTCTTTTTGAAGCAATGTGTCAATGAACTTTCTATCGGGAGCAATACCATATGACGGTGCGCTCACCAGATTTATTGGAAGTTCGTAAGTGATTCTTTTCCTGTCAATTTGCAAGCCCTATTAGGTGTTGGTTGCATTGCATCTTAGGTTGTACTTTGATGGGAGGTTATATTGTGGTCTCAATGCACCCTCAAATTTATCAATTTACTTTCGCCTGTTGATCTTCATAAGAATATCAAATGTATGCTCCATTGTTTTTAGCTACTGTTAAATTGTTGAAATATCAGTTAGCATTATCTTTTTAATCCTAATGAAGTTATGTGCTAATCACTGTAAGTTTTTTTGCTGGAACTTCTTAGGACTATAGCTGGCCCTTGTTTATTTTATTGATACAAAAAAAAATGAAATACTCAGCATGAGCAGAGATATAATTCTGTCTTGTACTATTTCTTTATGCAACCACATCGACCAATAGGAATTATTATTTTTGAAAATTGGTTGGTGAAAGATAACACAAATATTTTCTTCTTATGCCTTCTTATACATGTGTTAATGAACATAATTAGATTTATTCCCTTGGAGGCATGGGCATCTGAAACATGTTCTTGCAAACACTATGTTTTCACATGAATTTGGCTCGAAAGCAGGTTCTGATACACGCTGAGCTATGTCCAACTCAGTGAAACCTCCAACTCAGGAGACATCCACAGCCTGGATGTGGGGACATGGGGTGAAGTTTTGAAAACTTTTGCTTTTCTTATCATCCACTTTGTGGTCCCCTTTTCTACTGTCGAAATGTCATCCCTTCTACAAGCATTCAGTATATGCATTTTTCATAAGTTCAGTATTTATGTTTTTTTCCTTTGGAACACAGATTTTCTTCTTTAGCTAACTAATTACTTTACAGTTACATCATTCTTCATTTCGGAGCTTTACTTACTACCAGATAGCAATGCAATTCATGATGCTATCTTTTTTGCTCGTGTTTCTTCTCAAATAATTATTTTCCCCATTGAAACCTCAAGCACGAAATCATCAGCTTCCTGTATCAATTGACAAAAGCTGTAGTTCTTGTCTAACCAATCTTCTTGTGGTCATATACCTTTCTAATCTTTTCTGGAAGCAGTTTTGAATTGTTCTCTAGGGGGGATAAGAAAAAAGTCATGTTCACTGAGCGCTTGTTAGTTGAATAACAAAATAAACTATGTTTTTGGGATAATCTTGTTTTTTGCAGCATATCATTATTGAAAGTCATCATTCTTGTCCATACTTGTTCTTTCAAGTCCCAGTTTTGCCAACTAAACTTCTGTTGCACTGCATTATTTCTATGAACAAAAATGTAAATTTCATCTGGTGCCACCTTTGTCTCTTGTATTACCTTTGTTAGCCTTATCTCTGATATTACCTTTGTTGTTCTGTGAATTGAATGGCCATACTTATGGTATTTTCCTTTTTTTTGCAAACATATTCATTTGTATAGTTTCACTCGGCACTAAAAGGTTTGCTAACATGTGTCTGCAGCTATGTGGGAAATCGGGAATTATGTGGGAGGCAAGTTGGTCTTGAGTGTAAGAATGATGTACCATCAACATCAACAGATTCTGAACCACCTTCTTCAGGTAGTGGTGCACAGTGACACCTCAGCAGCTCAGCTGTGGTTGCATTTTGGTGTCAGTATTAGCGTTTGAAGTAATTTGATTGTAACTAGCTCTGGCTATAACTCAGAAAAGGCCTATAATACTACTCATATACATATCAATACTGACTGATATTCATATATATATTATGCCGATCATCCTAGCTTACTAAGTATATATACGATAGAAATAATGGGTACTGCTTGGTAGTGAGTGTCCAAATCCCCCTCCACCCTCATTCACAATGTGGCGAACATGTAGGTTGACGTGATAGGGATGCTGACAGGCATCACTACCGAAAACCAAAAATTTGTGCTCTGGTACCAAGCATACCATATTTCTCATATACTACTATATTGGTATACTATCACTACACCATATACCCCGATCTTACGATAGTTATATGGTATGACTATCTATTATTATATACTCGTACTCTATACCCTAACTTATCGCCAACATAATAACTACTGCTATATACTCCTATATGCAGAAATATGCGAGAATAACACTTGGTACGCCAAAGTTTCTCCATTGAACTTGGTAGTGAGGTGGGCGCCAAAATCAAGGGACCCTAGCATCATCGCCGTCGAAGATGGCAGGCTCTTTTTTTAACAATAGACGTTGAAAGTAGTTCGAGGTATCTCTGCGGTCCCGAGGCATGATGTCAGGGTCTTGATTTGCCAGCCTCACTACCAAGTTCAAATAGAAACACTTGATCGCGAACACAAAAAGTTCTCCTATTTCTCTGCGTCCTCTCTCTCATATATATAGTAGGTCGCATATAGGTACCTAAATATATAGTCCATACTAGCTACCGGGACGTATCGAGCAGACGAGAGAGAGAAGAGAGGAGACGGCGAAGAGAGAAGAGGGATCATCACTTGGTAAGGGCGAAGCACAAATTTTGTGCGCTTGGCTAGTGATGTGTCTCAATTCCGCATCCGGCCACCGTCATCTCAATTGGGGGGAGCCGACCATCAACCCATGTGGCGACGATGTGGTGCTCCCATTTGATGCAGTGGAGGAATACATACCTGCCACCCACTACGCAACGCATAAAATTTAATGCTTGGTACGCCAAGCCATACCATATTCCTCTATATGATAATATATATCATTACTATTTGAAGTATATTGAATTTTCTGAACTTAGATAAAACGGACACAAGATGTCTGAGATGTTCCAGTACTCTTAATCAAAATAATTATAGTTTCATACACACATGATATAATCTTTTAGTTGTGACTTGAGAATGCTCATTAATCTGCCACGCCACATATACGTGAATAACTAATTCTTATTATCACATTATTTTAAAGTGTCTGTTGATCTGCTAGGATTCAATTTAATAAGCTTTATGATTATTGGATGAATTGTTAATTGGTTAATCAAATATCTAATTAATATCTTAGCTAGTATTTTTGTTAGTCTGACTCTTACATGTGTTTGGTGCCTTGTTTTGCACTCTTCCTCTTTCTTTTACTTTTCTTTTTATTTTGTCGTGAGAAGACTTAAACCTCTTTCTACTACAAGCGAACTTAAGGTGATCCTTTCGGTGGAGGGATAGGTGTTTGGACCTGACAACATAGGAGATAGGTCTTGGATGCAAAGCTTATGATGCTTCATTGTTTTGAATCTCCAAAGTAGATCTTGGTGTACCAATATCTGGGGCATCTAAAGGAACATGAGTAAAATACGTAGAAGGTTATTGTCTATCCGTTTATAATTTAGAAGTGGATAGTTTTGAGTCGGGACTATTTCAGGCTTTCAGATAGATTTCTGGTCGACATCCGAACCTGTGGATGATGTTTTTGCAGGTGCTAAAAAATGCAAGACAATCAAGGTTCTTGTTTGCAATTTTCACGGGCCCTATAATTAATTTAATTATTCAAAGTGGTAAGAAATTCTCCAGATTCTACTGGTGCGTACACACTAAACACAGCTGCAGACCCATTTGTATAAAAAAATCCTCTATGGTGGTTCAAAAGATATACATTGTATAAAGCATTCATACTTTCATAGTGATCTTTGATCTCAAAACAATTTGAATTAAGGAAGCTTGTCTCAATGACTGCCCTTGAGATTTGCAGAATTTCAAGATGTGCTAGAAACCAATGAGTCTTTGATGTGGATTGGGCATAGGGCTTCGATCTGGAGAGGATTAATCTGTGGTGCTCTTTAACCCTAAAAGTTTTGACGGCCGTTCGAATCGATTCAGGGATGTTCTCGAGCTTAGGTGCAGGGGGTGTTTGTGGGACTGTTGAGGAATAGCGAAGGGTCAGCTGTTTGGGGCAGAAAAGAAGAAATTAAAGACTGTTTTTCTACCGGAAAAGAAACAGAGGGAGGCTTTTGCTTGTGGTTGCAGGGAAGAAAACAGAGGATCTTGGTTGGGGTCTTGTGGCTGCAATAAATAAAGATAAGAGAGGAAAAGTAGAAAACAAAAGAACAAACAATGAAAATTGTAGATAATTTGTGGCTTCATGCCTTGCAGCTCACTTTTCTCAAACTCACATATTTTCATTCAGCAACCAATCTCCTTTCCTCATAGAGAATACATCTTATTTATGTAATAAAATTAGTACTAAAGATAACATCAAATCATCGGAAATCTTAACTAATAAATCTGAAAATATCATCCTAACTAAATGTCTAACAGAAGCATCTAAAAAGATAAAACTTTCAAACTGCAAATCCCTATCAACTAAAACAGAGTCACCTAATAAAATCTAAACTAAATTACTAAATAAAATCAACTCAGTCTTAACTTGTTCTGCAGCATATCTCTCCTTGTTAGAGAAAACTCGACCTTGAGTTTTATAACGGGGAGAACATAAAAATTCCTTCGATTAGTGGGTAGTATTGTTGTATGCATTGCAGGGTCTTTAAAATTATCTTTATAATTTGATAACGAGTAGGTGGCAGAGGATCTAGAATGACAAACTCTATCGTTGAATTAAATACAAATTGGAGGCATCTCAAATTGGACTTCAACTTTGGACTTGAGCTTTGGGTTTGATTCAAGGTCAGCCTCTGGGTTAACCTTCCGCCCTGTCTTTGTTTCGGGCTCGAGTTCAGGTTCAAACTCCAGTTCAAGCTTGTGCTCTGAATCTATCTTTTGATTTTTCTTTGTTTTTTGTTGCTTCTGCTTAGGCTCATACTCTAAATTAATCTTCTGACATGCATCTTATTTTGGCTCATAATTTGGCTTGAGCACTGGTTTCGGTTCAGACTGCAAGTCCACATCTGGCTGGAATCGGGACACTAGTGTTGACTTTGCTTCAGGCTTTGAGGAGAAACAATAATATTTCTAGTTGGCTGACAAGAGTATCTCCTTTTCCAGAAGAAATTTCGTAGGTTTCCATGAAGGGATAGCTGAAGTGCTGAAACGATACTTGAATAATTTCTAGACCATCATTCTTGAGCTTCTCTTTTCTCTAGCCTACACTTTGCATATAAATGCTTTTTCTATTTTTGACATATCATAATAATAGAAAGTATATCCTCTATATATTGAATCCATATTTCAAAATCATACGACTCCTCATATCCATCAATTCCGTAAAAATATGAAAAACTACCATATTTTGATGGACTGAAATTAAAATGTTGTGAAGGAGGTAACAGTACTTTATCCATGGTAACTGTAGATCCTTCAGCACTGATACCGGTTGATGGGGATCGGGCGGAAGGCGATCTGGACATGATTCAGGCATGTACACAAAAGTGCTTCAGGGTGTGTTTGTGGGACTGTTGGCAGCAAAGGAATAGCAAAGGGTCGGCTGTTTGGGGGCAGAAATGAAGAAAATGAAGGTTGTTTTTCTGCTTGAAAAGAAATAGAGAGAGGGAGGGCTGTTTGTGGTTGCAAGGAAGAAAACAGAGGGTCTTGCTTTGGGTCTTGTGGTTGCAGTAAAGCAAGATAAGAGAGGAAAAGTGGAAAAGAAACGAAGAATAAAAATTACAAATAATTTGTGGCTTTATGCCCTCACTATCTCCGTTCATGAATTAATTTCCTTTCCTCATGGAGGATACATCTAATTTATGGAATGAACTTAATACTAAAGATAACTTGAAATCACCGAAAATCTTATCTAATAAAATTGAGAATATGATCCTAACCAAATATCTAGCAGAAGCATCTAAAAATATAAACTTTCAAACTGCAAATCCTATCAACTAAAATAGATTCTCCTAAATAAAATCCAAACCAATGTACTTAATGATATCAACTCAATCTTAACTTGTCCTGCATCAGTTATGCACTTACACAGCTAGGTAACTGGCATGCCTGAGTTTGAAGAATTATGTCTGTTGCTTGGTCCTGAGGAATTATTTTAGTTAGAGAAGGGAAGTAGGAGAGGGTGGGATGTAGGGAAGGGGATGGTATTTTTCTGCATTTCTGTATCAATTGGCCATGTTTTGAAGGCACTTGTTAGTGAGTCCGCGTCTCCTGGCCCCATAGCTCACATGTCTATGTAGATTAAGCGACTCGTAGATAATTGGCTTAATCTTGTGAAGCGTGTATGGTTAAAATCTGTTAATTGTTAAAAACATCTGTATACACATCTGTCTAGAAGAAATATACTTCACTTTCTTATCACTTCATATCATCCAGTTAGTTAATACCTCTATAATTCCAAATTCCTTCAACTTTGCAAGATTAAGGCTATAACAACATTTTAAGTTTATTTTTATCACCAATACAATAGAAGAGAGTATGAGGAAATGGGAAGTGACAAAGGTTTAAGTTTATTTATATCACCAATACAATAGAAGAGAGTATGAGGAAATGGGAAATGAGTTAATATTAGAAGTCTCTTTTTTTTTTTCTTTTTTTTTCTTTTTTTTTCTTTCGTTTTTTGAGATGGGGGTGGGGAGAGTTCGAGTTTTCAAGTGCCTCCTAGAAGAGTCATTTTTTGAAGGTTCAAAGCAACTATGAACTGACTGGATAATCTTCATTTTGAACAAGTTTTCCCCTCAAAGTTTTCCTTCCAGGGTTGACTTTGAGGGGTTTGACTCTGGAGCGAAGGGATCATGATTGATTCCTTCTTGTTTCTTTTCTTTCCCTTTTCTATTGCCCTATCTTCTAGAAATTCATTTACAGGCTCTATTTGTGATTTGAGCTAACTTCATGTGCATTGTTGTTCCCTAGGAAAACTAAAAACATGTTATTGAATGTTTCTGATAGGAACATGTTGCTGCAGGTAACCAACAAAACAAGAAGACAGGTCCTAAAGTTGTTATAAGTACTGCAGCAACAATTGGTGCTTTATTGTTGGTTGCTCTTATGTGTTTCTGGGGCTGCTTTATGTACAAAAAATTTGGTAAAAGTGATATGACAGGTCTTGCAGGGGATGTCAGTGGAGGTAACTTGCTTATCTTTGATAGTGCATTGAACATAAGAGTTACAAGTAACTCGATAGATTGTTTTTTAAAAATGCAAATGTGTTACTTGGAAGAGAACTGTAGTTATCTAATATATCTTATTTTTTTCAGGTGCATCTATTGTCATGTTTCATGGGGACTTGCCTTACTCATCAAAAGACATCCTCAAGAAGCTTGAGACTTTGAATGATGAACATATTATTGGTTCTGGTGGCTTTGGAACTGTATACAAGCTAGATATGGATGATGACAATATTTTTGCTCTGAAAAGAATAGTAAAAACAAATGAAGGTCTTGACCGCTTTTTTGATAGGGAACTTGAGATCTTGGGCAGTATTAAACATCGTTATTTGGTAAATCTACGTGGGTATTGCAATTCACCCTCATCTAAGTTATTAATTTATGATTTTTTGCCTGGCGGGAGCTTGGATGAAGCTTTACATGGTGAGAACTGCTCATTTTTACTACAGCTTACTTCAAATTGTATGCTTTGCAATTTTTTGTCCAAGTATGACACACAATATTACCATTTTCTATTATGTTTTTCTTCATCGCCAGGAACCTTACAGTTTCACTTTGTCGTCATTGATATTTGACTTGCATTCCTCAAATTGTTATGGAATAGGCAAGAGTACACCTAGCTCACTAGATAATTGAACTACACCAATCTCCAGTTCAGTTACTCATTTGATACATGCATCATTCCTTTCACTCTCTTCATGTAAAAAAAAATCCTTCCACTCTATCTTCATGTAAAAAATCTCTATTGTTAAGTTGAAAGGAAATTGTATAGTTGCTAACTTAGATTCTTTGAGCTCATAAATGCAGAAATTAAACAGTAAAAGTCACTGTCATGGTGGAATTCGGTTTCACATTTTCAAATAGCTACTTTCTAGGAATTAACGGTGGCAAGGGAAAATATTATATAAGAATTCAAGACTCGTGTTCAAACTGATTTGTGAAGATCAATATGAACTGTGAGAAATCTGTCTCTTGCTAAGAGTCTAACTTGCAGTAGAGATATGAGTTTTAGCAAATTATACCAATTAAGAAGGACACAATGGTAAACCTAAGTGAGAAGATGATCCCTATCAGAACTGAATGGAAGGTTAAGATCCCTATAGATGTTGTCAATAATTTGAAATAAAGGCATTGTTCATTTTGTTGTTATTCGTAGTAGGGCTTATTGACGTACAAATACATACTCGAACAAAAGCTAGAAATCTAATATGCATATTTGTAGAAGAATATGTGCATAGAGGGGTCCTTAAATTTGTTCGTCTTTTGTCTGGCCTTTAGAGGACCGTTAAATTAGTTCGTCTTTTGTCTGGCCTTTAGAGGATCGTTCTATCTCACAGTATGTAATCTGTTCAAATTCCATTCATTCATTCTGCGAATAGTAGTAGTACAAGTAGAAGATTGCAGAGCATTTGAAACTGAATAGAATGGTAAATAAAGTTACCATTTCTCCCAATGCTTTCCATTTGTTTGTGAAAGCTGCAAGGTTAGATACTTAAATTAGGATCAACGTATATTACATATTAAAAGCAAAGTTGGAGAGAAGGTGATGCGCTGGGGTCTTTCACTTCCTGTGAAGTCATTCATTGATAACATAATGTAAAGAGAGTTACCTATCAACATTTTGAAGCAGAGAGTGAAAGTTTTCCTAGTGTAGAGGACACATGCTATTCATTTTATATTTTAGATGAAATGAGAATCTTAGGAAGTTCCTGCTCCATCAAGAATTGCTTGCAACAATAAGAATAAAAAATGACATAGAGAAATTTGTAGTCAGTTAGTTTTCTTCATTTGGTCCTAGTAAGATCCGTATCTATTATTCTAGCAGTCACTATATCTTTTTTTCTGTTTCAATCCGTGTTGTTTTTCTTGTTTACCCTTCCTAGTCATTCGTTCAGATCTTCATTTCACTGTTCACTGTCACCCTAGGTTTCTCCCTAAAGAAAAAATCTGTCACCCTAGGTTTCTGTTATACATGCCCAGAGCATCTGGAGCTGTTCTCTCTTTTTTTTAGTTGAAGGCTTGAAGCTTACCTTTAAATTCTCACTAATGCATCCGTTTCTCATCCTATCTTTTTCAATGCACGCCGCTCATTGGGCCACACTTGTTCTTTGTGCATGTTGTTTTTCAGTTTTCAATTACTCATAACCTTTTTACCTAGAAAAGAACATGTGTGTATGCATGCATGTATACTCTCTGTATTATTGTACTTATTGGGTAATACACATATGTATATTGAGTATTATGCTGATGTGTTGTTGTATCCTACTTTTTGAAGAATTTTTGTGTCATGCATCTGTGTCCATATCGTACCCATGTCTCGTGTCCATGTCCAGCTACTAGTTTTTGGTTTCAAGTATGTAGACCACTACTAACGTCTTAGCTTATGCAGAAGTGGTTAACTTACAATCATACATCATGATCATTCTGTGGACGCCTAAGTTTGTTTGATCCTTAAGGATTACTAGCTCAGTGACAGTAAGCATGATCAGAGCGTGCCCAGAAAGAGTAATAGTTTGAAGAGTTTGTGATATTGGATTTTTGCTTTAGAATATTCATAAACGAGAAGTGCCTCTAATAGCAACGTTGCAAGTTGAGTTGTGTGCTTATCCAAATGAATCATAAGGTTTCTAGAATTGTTTATGCAAACACCATTACTGCACCAATTTGGCACGGTAAAATTTTGTTAAATAAATCCTAACGGGTGATTTATGATTGTTCTAGATATGGTCATTAGTTTCTCATAAGTTAAGTAGTATGTGATTGCAGGCGGGACTACTTAGCTGAGTTATGGAAGTTAACTCGTACTTTGGTTAGTATAGATTTGAACTTTAGTTTCCTTACTATCCTGAAGCTATCAAACCCTCAGAAATTGATTTCTATAAAACATCATGATGAATAACATACCTATATGCTGATGTCTGAAACTATTTTTGAATAATCATCTTCGTCCCATCTCACACTTTTTGGCGGAGATGCAATTCATGCATATATGTTTACTGATTTCTTAAGTCCAGAATGTGCAATGAGTACACAGTTGTTAAATGTTTAACTTGACAAAACCCTAAATCCTTGGGCAGAGAGGTCGGAACAATTGGACTGGGATGCACGCCTTAATATCATCTTGGGAGCTGCAAAAGGGCTTGCATACTTGCATCATGATTGTTCACCTCGAATCATTCATCGTGACATTAAGTCAAGCAACATTTTACTTGATGGAAATCTGGAGGCTCGTGTGTCTGATTTTGGACTTGCAAAGTTGCTGGAGGATGAAGAATCTCATATCACTACTATAGTAGCCGGGACATTTGGATATCTGGCTCCAGGTATTAAATGAAATGTATAACAATACATGTCACACATGCATATATATGCATGTTTGCGCGCGCACACACACTGCAATCTAATGCTATATTTTTTATGACCTCATGCTGTCTCATTGTGACATGCTTAACACACATAAAACTTGCGTCAAATTCCATGCACATGGTATCATGCACAAGGTTGAATATGGAAGTGTCAACTGGTGATGAGGCTTTAAATATACATCAGTTTTTTATGGATAAGTGATATAATACAATATATTGTATGTGCTTTCGTCTTTCCCCTATTGGTCATCCTAATGCAAAAGCCTCTCCATCTAAATTGAGGAAAATCATAATTTTGTGCATAATAGATGGTAATATTTTTGCATAACTCAAAAAATGTCCCATTTTTTAAATCCTTATGAGACCAGCTGTGATTATAGGTTTCAATTTATGGGTCTCAAGTGTTTTCTATCCCCCTTTTTTGATAGAAGGTTCTAATCATTGGTTGTAATGGGTTAAGTAGAAATACTTATGTTTGGAACATCTTGATACTTTTGCTAATGATTTTTTGATATTCTGCAGAGTACATGCAAAGTGGTAGGGCGACAGAAAAAACAGATGTGTACAGTTTTGGAGTATTAGTGCTTGAAGTAATGAGTGGAAAACGACCCACGGATTCATCATTTATCGAAAAAGGCTTGAATATAGTAGGATGGGTATGGCTCTATTTTCCTTCGTGAACAGTGATTATCCACAGTATAGTTATAAGTTACCAAGATAAAAGTTGAGTTTATGCTAATATGCCATACATACTTTTGTTTTCTCCGTTTCACATTAAATGAAGAATTCCTTTTATTTCTTTTACTCAGGTAATCTTTCTGTCGACTTTTAAAGAAAAGAGTCACAATTTGACTTGTGCGTTGCTAATTTAAACAATAACTATTGTGTTTGGGCTTGAAATGGTCAAGAAGCTCTTTCTTATCTTGTTAACATACTTATCTGATTCGACCCATTAGTGATTAGTGAAAACTGAAAGCTTACATGTTGATTGCATATTACATTAAGTTGACAATACTTAATATGCAACTTGTTTCGGAGGCAAATAACTGTACTCCAACAAATAGCTGCCCCTATGCTGTATCCACTATAGGAAATTCCATCCTATATAGAACTTATGTTTGAATTTGTCCTTGAACAGATGGAAAATCATGTGATCTGGAGACTTTTTATCTATATAACTTTTAGTTTAAAACTGCACATATTTTAGGCCAACCATGATAAATAATGCAGGTAAAGGTTGGAGTTTTAGATTGCAATTATGAGGAACGTTTTTTTTATCCTGTGGCTGTGATACCTAATGATGTCACATATCCTCTTTGAAATGTATTGTGCAGATAGAGTGCGAGCATGGTGGCATATTTCACTTTATGTATTGGGAAACCCCATTATGAATTGCTAAATTTTCCGCCATGAAGTTTCTTTAGCTTTGGACAAGCTCAATCATTTGTGATCACCTATAAACATATCTGCAGGCTTACAGTTCCTGCTTTCCACAATTATCTCTAGTCACTCCCATGTATTGCATATTGTATTTTGTTGCCTGTATGGTAATGACTTATGCTCTGATAATTTTATCCAAGTTATAGATTCTCATGGATATCTCAATCTACTGCATAAACAAACCTTAATATAATGTACGGCTCTGGTAATGAGTGCTGGTGCTTGCTGATTAAACCCTACCTATTTGATATACAACTTTATATACAAGTTTGAGGATTTGTTTTGGTTTGTGGTTTACAGCCAAAACCACCAAATTTGGCATTACATCCAAATTGACGATTTTCATACTATACCATTGCCTTGATATTTTCCACTTTCTAGCGTTCGGATCTTGCAGATACAATGGGGGCAAAGTTGCCGGAATCTTCCCTATCCCTTGGTCCTATTAGAAGTGCATTTGGATAGAGATGATTCTAGAGTAATATATCAGCATATTCAGCTGTGACCTTAACAAAGCTATTCACATTGATACTGCAGAAAAGCTATTCACATTAATAATGCTTCTGCACACTGAAACTGGGTTCCACTTATACCAATAGTTATTATCCCTTACCTGCCTCTAATTTCAGGAAATCCGACCTCTTCACTTTTTGTGTCCATGAGGGGCACCAAATTATAAGAATGGCTAGGGCCTCCCGGCTATTCAACTGCCTAGCTCCTAGCAGCCTGATATTGATGATAAAATAAATGAGAAGATTGTAAGAAATCCAGGAAATTTAGGAACTAATGAAAATGATAATGGAACGCCCATCCCTCTCCCCACGCATTCGGATTTCACTTACCTTAATATTCACATGCATTTACATGGTCAAAGAAAAGAATACATGCCCTAACCTTCCCTCCCTCTCAGGTGCCTGCACACAAAAAAGCAAGAAATACTTGTTTATGTGAACATATTAAGTCTATATAGTGTATATAAATCTGTTGCACAAAATTTAGAATTCCATAATAGGATAAGGTTGCAAACCATCCCTTTCATCAGTGCGTTTGAATTTGAGTATCTAGACATTAATAAATGGTAATATGTTCCCCCTTTATATGTATTTTGGGTAATTAGCCTCCTTGTAACTCTCACAAAATTACTTTAAAAAAATCCCTAGAGGTTTAAAGTTTTGATACTTCTCTCGCAGCACTGCCTGCTATTTTTGGATGAAAATACCCCTCCAAAGACACCTAAACTTTCAAGATTTTCAAAGATTCTGGTCAATCCTCTCTCTCCTCTCTAACTATTGGGCACATGCTCTCTAAGCTTATTTGTCTAGCCCTCCGTTTCCTATAAATTACTTTTCGCTGTCTAAACCTCTTAAACCTCAAGTTCACTTCTTTATAACCTTCTCGTAAATCTCTCTAACTCTCACTGTATTGCAAAGAAATTAATTGTTTATATTATCTTCCCATAGGAAAAATAACATAAAAGAAAAGTATAGAAATGTATATTATTTCCATTTGAAAGGGTAAGGATTACTGAAGCAGTGTCGCTCTTGACCTCATTTATTCTCTCCAACTTTCAGTTGCTTTTTAACTTTCCTTCTCTCTCTGTCAATTTCCTTGTCTTTTACTCTTTTGTTTTCTATTTGAAAGAAGATAAGTTGCCCCAACTCCACGTGTATGCTACTACTACGCATCCTACATTTATTCAGACGTATACTCAATTATATAATACATACATTTATTCAGACGTATACTCAATTATATAATACATACATTTATTCAGACGTACACTCCTTGAATAGGCATACATTTATTCAGACGTATACTCAATTATATAATACATACATGATTTGGTCTAAACACTCGTCACTCACTTCTTTGACATGTATCTTATGCTTCCTAACCACTTCTTCTCATGCACATCGTTGGACACGTGTCTGGTTCGTTTCAGCCCATGCCCAGTTCAGAAATATGATTTTAAAGGATCATTTAGATATCTAGTTCAAATATGATTTTAAAGGATCATTTGCAATCTACTTGATAATTGGAACATAAAATGTTATAGGAAGTTTAGTTTTCTTAGTATGTGAATGAAAAACAAAAATCGAGCTAATGTAAATTACTAATTTCAATATGTATATGTATATTGTTGTGTCTAAATATCCTACCTTATATAAGTTAGTCGTGTCATGCATCTGCATGCACACCCGTGTGACATTGATATGAAGTGACAGAAAAAGTAAGGGACTAGATATTTAAAGAGAGATTTGGAGAGTTAGAATGAGGGTTGCTTAAAAAGATAAAGGGCTTTAGGGAGGAGAAAGAGAGTTGAGGAGATCAAAAGAAAAACTAGAGTGAGTTGGATGATTTTGAGCTAGAGAGGTAGAAAGACTTAGAAAAAATTATATGACAATGAAAGTATTAAAGAGGGAAAGCAAGTTGGAGAAAATTTAGGGTGAAGAAGGGTAAAGGGAGAGAGATGTTTAAGAGACAGAATTAGAAAGAAACGGAGAAGGAAACTAAAGAAAGAAAGAATTAAGAGAAAATGAACCTGCAAGGGAAAATGAATTAAATAGAGGGAAGGAGTGAAGGATGGATCTTTGATACCTTCTATAGTGTTCGATGATTTTCTGCAAGGGCATTCTCATCCACAATAAGTGATCATATCTATGCATGTGTATATGGATGTATATATGTATATGTAAATGACAATTAACTCGATCTAGAAACTTTTCGATGCATAAAAGGAAAATGTTTCCTTTATAATCTCTAGCTGAACTCTACTATATGTTGAAAAGTTTAGACTGCCACTTTTGGTTGTGCTTCTATGAGTCTGTCTTAAGAAGGTTTTAGTCATTTTCCACAAAACTTTGTGTCTTTAACCTTTGATTTAAACAAATTAACCTTCAAGAGAACTTGACCTATGAACAATGCTCTCCTTGTTCTTTATTGACATGAGCCATACATGATAAAGCTCATTGGTGATGGTGTCAAAATATGTCCTCTGTTAGAGTCTCTTTTAACTTTACCGTAGCGAGCATGTTTAGCTTCTCATTACTTTTGCTCATCAAGTGTTCATCTATCTTGCAGCTGAATTTTTTGGTTGTGGAGAACCGTCAGAGAGAAATAATAGATCCAGAATGTGAAGGAGTGCAGAACGAAAGCCTCGATGCTTTGCTTTCAGTTGCAACTCAGTGCGTATCCTCCACTCCAGAAGACCGACCCACGATGCACAGGGTGGTTCAGGTATTGGAGTCAGAGGTGATGACCCCGTGCCCAAGTGATTTTTACGACTCATATTCAGAATGAGCTAAATAAGTTTCTGAGCCTTGGTATTGTTTTTTCCATTCACTCTTTGCTCACGTAAGAATTGAGTTCCATACATCTCCCCTGGTCCATTCTGCAACTCTTTCTGCATGTACACTTGTGTTCATTCATTTATTCTTTGTTGCAGAAGTGGTTGTAAATGAAAGTTTGTTTGCTGTTAGCAGGCGTAATATATATTAGTCTTCTCTCCTTGGTTCTTTATATTCTGTTTTCTTTTATTTGATAGACGAACGGCTGTGTTTATTCTTCATTGTTCGTCATATCTTGCTACTATAGGAGATTCATCTTGGTGATCCATGACTACGATAGTTAGCGTCCGCCAGAATGAAATGGAATTGTGTTTGGATAATCATCGTACACCGGTCCATAATATATATTTGTTTTTCCAAATTAAAAAAAAGGGAATAAATGAAGTGACCATAACTTGTTTTAACTACACACGGCTGAATCCAAGTAGACATCCCCAAGGCCCCAACACATCGTAGTAGAGAATTATTTAGGTTTTTATTTCATACATCATCTTCGCGCGTGATATTCAAAGTGCGCTCATTAATGTAATAGACTATGAATGCCAGCAGATTGGCATAGCATTGAACAATTAGAATAAGACAACTTAATAAAACTTCAAGATTAATCACGGGTATTACGTTGTCAAATTTTAATCATAAGTAACGCTGTCAAAAGCCAGCGATGTTCAATGCGACGGAGTCATTATTTTTTTCCAATTCGAATGACGCTTTTATTAATACCATGAAAACTCCAACACTTTCCGCACACTATTTAACACATACTGTCTAACACCATAACTAACCAATAAGAATAGGTTTGGCTCTAGTCTCATTTTAAGGAGAAAGGTGTCCGGCAAAAATATGACCTTCAAACTAGTTATTTTATAAACCAACCCTCCAAAACGTGAAAAAAAAAATATTAGTTTAGAACAAAACTGAGTAAGGTTTGCTGCTGGCCCACTTTTGTAAGAATTGTCAAACACACACTATTACACTATTATTAAAAGTCATGATGTTGCCGAACTATTATTTCAACCACAAGTTGGCCTTTGAAAAATGTTTTAAAATCCAAAAGCTTGGCAAGCGGTAAAAAAAGAAAAAGGAACCAAGCTTAATCTGCGTTGCAGGCTGTGGCTTCATCGATTAAAGCTGAAAAGGGAGCCAACTCGGCCCAAAGGTCTCCAATTCTCCAGCCGCAGGCGGACAACTGGAATGGGCCAAACCCGACCCGCTCCAGGAAGAAAAGAAAAAACCTAATGTGCAACCCGGGTCAGCCCCACATATAGAGGTTTGTGACCCGACCCGACTTGGGTATTTATAAAACATTCGAAGACCTAACCACGGCGTT